ACTAACCTACAACCCGAAACAACGCACTCAACAAACCACCCCCCCCCCCCCCCCCCCACTACAGACTTTAGTGATGAAGAATAAAAGGTGTCAGATTTTCTAGAGTTTGAAAAATTGCTCAAGTTATAATTTTGAAGATTAGTCAACATCATTGTTTGTGAGTTGATTAACATATATACAATAGTGCATAAGATGTGCTGTAGATATCATGGATATGTAAAATAGACTTATTTGCCGATCCAATGATTATAATAATAAGAATATTAAATTAAAAAAACACGCATAAAAAAAATAAAAAATAATGAGCGAATAGCAACAATGCAAACAAAAAATAGGGCGCCGTAGAAAAAAAAATTTCTATTTTAAATGTAGAAATAAATTTAGAAATAAATAATAAATTCTCGCTCTTGTCATCGATTATTAATGAAAACAACTACAGTCGATGAGAATTTTTTCAGTTTACAGATTATGTATTAGGACAACAAGGTTGAAGGATATACGTGAGTTCCACATTTCAGCTCCGAAGGAGCTGCGCTAACAAACTTTTTTAATTCCTTTTTGGTGCCGAATCAGCAAATAATAGTGAATCAACTTCTTCTGAATAACGTCCACCAGCTACATTGGCTTTTTCACAAGCTGTTCGAATTTCTTTTTTCTCTTCTTTAGTTAATTTGATTTGTGCTGCAGCAACATTTTCTTCTAAATTCTTGATCTTTGTTGTTCCAGGAATTACAAAAAAATCTTCTCCTTGACTAAGAATCCAAGCTAATGTGAGTTGACCAGGAGTACAATTTTTTTTCTTAGCTATCAATGTTAATGTTTCGACTAATTCAAGATTTTTAGGAAAATTTTCTTTGGAAAAACGTGGGAATTTTCGTCGATAATCATTTTCTGCAAGATCATCTGGACTTTTAATTTGTCCGCCTAATAAGCCACGGCCTAATGGTGCATAACAAACTATTGCTATGCCGAGTTCTCGACATGTTTTTAAAAGACCAATATCTTCACGTTCAATATCCAAGCTGAATGGTGAATATTCAATCTCTAGGGCTGCAACTGGATGAACAGCCTGTGCTCTTCGAAGAGTGTCACTTGAACATTCGGATAGACCAATATATTTGATTTTACCTGCTTCAACAAGTTCTTTCAAAGCACCCATTGTTTCTTCAATTGATACGTTCTTGTCGATACGATGAACATAATAGAGATCAATATAATCGAGACCAAGACGTTTTAAACTTTTGGCACACGCTTCATGAACATATTGAGCATCGCCACGTGCGATTCGATCGCCATTTGGAAGAATAACAATGCCAAATTTGGTAGCAAGAAAAACCTATGAGAAAAAACATTTTTGATATAATTTTTCTCTTCGGAACTCCTTTTGTGTTTGAAAATATTCATAAACACATAAGTAAGCGAATTAAGAAAATTAAAAGATTATGTTATTTACAGCTTCCTCATATAGGAGAAATCCCCATTATCTATATTATGCATATGCGCATGATGATCCTTCACCTCGAGCGATTACCGCACTCACTCGAGAAAGGAAGGAGAGAATGATGTGAAGTTGTATGTGAAGTAATCATAGTGTTGAAATAAAGATCAAGCTCAACAAGTAACGGAACTAAGCACGGATCGAGATAAATAAAAACAAGACCAACGAACAAGTGATTCGATAACAACCGCCTTCCTCGATATCATTCCAATATATTTTCTATATTTTCCGTTACAAGCATCTTTCAATGTGTTAAATTCTAACTGATTAAAATTTTATATGAGAAGTTTCCATTAATGTATACAATGCCTAGAAGGGTCGCTGAGGTAATGAGTTTTCAATATTTTATGTCATTTTTCTCAGAAAACGTTCAGTCATATTATAAGCATCGGTTTATTCCTGTTTTTGGTTTTACTAACCTTTTCACGTTGATGAGGATATTTCTTAAAATACTTTCCAAGTAAATCTTCATTATCACCATAAAAATTCGCACTATCAATATATGTACTACCAAGTTCAATCAATCGATCCAACAGCTTGAATCGTTCTTCATCGGAAGCAAATGTTCCATAAAATGCTGAGATACCCATAGTACCAAAACCAATGGCAGGTATATGCGGTCCATTTTTACCTAATTGACGAATTGGTATTGACGTCATATTTTATTGTAAAGAATGTGTAATAAAATGTATATTTAAACTTTAAAACGATATGATAAGTATATTTGTATTTTACTCTTTAGAGTCCATATATATGTGTCGTGCCGAAGTTACACTGGTTGTCGAAGTTATTTTAGATCAACTAAATATTAAATACATATCTACAAATTGATAATGCCATAATAAAAAATTTATATTTATAATCAACTTTGCATTTTAATAACGTAGGTATTATTTTTTTCAGAATGAATGAATTATATAAATATTAGCTAGAAAATTTAAACAAAATGCATTTTGTTGATACTCTACATAATTGTAATTCGACTGAAACCATATTATGTTCTGTGTTTGAATAAAGATATCTAAAGTAGTACGACTAGGATTTACCGAAAATTTATGTACATAATTTTAGTAGCTTTTAAAATTTGTTTTTCGAAATTGTTTGAAACCATACTCATCTTAATTGAAAATGTTTGGACTCAGGACAAAAATAGCGCAAATACTTGTTGTTACAGTGTGTTCTTCTATAACATCTAGCTCGATCCTATCTATTCTCTTTTCTTTGTTATTTTCGTTTCTTTTATTTCTTTCCTTTGCACTTGATTGACCTCTGTATTCTTCTATATTTTGTCCTTAATTTTCATGTGCGTATATAAACACTTATTTTGTAAAAGAATACACAGAAAGAATAAACCACACACACACACGTTAACTGTGTTCGTCGATCTTCGTGAGCGCGAACGCTAACACTTGTTAAAAGATGAAGATGAAAACAAGACCAAGAAAAAAACCGCTAAACGAAAAAGCGGCATGTCGCTTCTTTGCTACAATTTTTCTTTGTACAATTAAAACATGTTATATGCGACGAAAGATAAGTTCAATAAATCCCAAAAAACTTCCATTGGCTGTCACAACTTTCACTATACAACGTATTTTATTCCCTTTCCATAAACCATTGTCCTCATGACATTTAATTAATTTTCTATGGACCCTGTTTTTGTGATAAATTATGGTGCAATTAAAATATAAAGTGAGTCGAAGTACTCCAAATATTTCTTTTCAAATATAGAACTTAATATGGTTCAGTCGAATTACAATTATGTAGAGTATCAACAAAATGCATTTTGTTTAAATTTTCTAGCTAATATTTATATAGTTCATTCATTCTGAAAAAAATAATACGTACGTTATTAAAATGCAAAGTTGATTATAAATATAAATTTTTTTATTATGGTATTATCAATTCGTAGATATGTATTTAATATTTAGTTTATCTAAAATAACTTCGACAACCAGTGTAACTTCGGAACGACATATATATACTTTACACCATAGATAACAAGCAAAAAATGAGTTTGTTATTGTGATGACGATGCAGAGAAAGAAAGAACAGAAAAGAAAAAATGCAACGAAAGGTCGTCAGAAGCGAACCAAAATCGGATCAATCGTCCATGATTTACCCNATATTGCACTAAAGCGAAGAATAGAGCCTCTCTTGATTAGAGAGAGGGCGTTAAATAGCAATGACTGCATGGATATGCTCGTTTACGTTCACGTTTGAAGAACGAAAAAAAATGCATAAATTGTTTGATCATTTTTATTCCAGTATGATACAAATGGAATCATGCAATGAGTACTTCGATATAAAAGATCAAATACATATATATCACGCGCTGCGAAGTCTTCTGTCAAAATTTATCACGAATTGAGTAAAGTTAGACTTGTTTATATTAAAATGAAAAAGATAATAAACGATATCATTTTTTAATGCTGGGAAAATTCAAAAAATTGAACAAATGCTATATCGTGACGTAGAACAGTTTTTCTAATAAAGACATATATTTGAAATATGTAGGGTAGAATTTCTTTAATTTTGTGTAAATTATTCATAATTATTTTTCAAAACGCAATACTCTATCATATTCACGATTTTAGAGTTCGGGTTTCATCTGAAGATATCAATTTTTCATAATGTTTTAGCGAAAAAGAAAATTTTAAAAAATATCTGCGTGAAATTTACTGCAAGGGCTACCGTTAAAACATTCGATTTCGATTAATTTTAATCTATTATGAAATTTGAAAGACCGCTTGACATGGTTAGCTTGCATATTATAATTCTAGGAGTACTTTAAGAATACTTTCTTTTATGTGCCGAGAATGAAACATCTTTTTTTTTATTCAAGTATTTTATTGAACATCACTGTTCCAGATCTCCAATAGTAATCACTCTTTGTAAAATTTAAAAAACTGGGGTGAAATGGAAAAGAAAAGAAATTTCCTATTTCTCAACTCTTAATATAGACATCAGAGGTGCTCGTAGAGTTACTGTTTTGTACCTTGCTCTGATCTTCTCTAGAGTTCATGATACTTCGCAAAGTCTGTATACAGCTTTTATTGAATATCTTGCAGTGTTTGCTTCATTTATTTACTTTTTCTATCGCCTGCCGGGTGAATTTTTAATTCACACAGGGGCTCACTGGTACATAGTAGTAGTGAGAAGGCGACCCTGGGCTGTCGGTAGCCAACCGTCAGGCACTCGTGCTAGCAACTCGTCTGTCGGACATAAAACCCTATCCTGCTAATGAAAAGAAGAAAAACAAGTGCGCGAACGCACAGAAAAGTGTACTTTTTGGCGGGTGGAATGTAAGATCATGTGTTAAACAATCAAAAAAAGAACTTATCACCAGACAATTGAAGAAATATCGGATACAAATAGCTGCTATTAGTGAAACATGTATGTATGATTCTGGAGTAAAATTAATAAATGATTATAGTATGATCTACTCTGGTTTACCATCTACAAATAAAACTAGAAGCGCTCATGGAGTAGCTATTTTATTGGATCAAAATGCTACTCAGGTATGGAAAAATTCTGGATCAAATTGGGAAGCGGTGAGCGAAAGAATTATTAAAATTAGATTAAAATGTACTCCGATTAACATTACTGTACTCTCTGTTTACTCGCCTGTTAATCCAACTGATAAACAAATGATTGAATCCAGTGAAAAGTTTTATAATGATTTACAAGATACTCTGAACAAAATTTCCACTGATGATATGATCATAATAATGGGTGATTTAAATGCTAGAGTGGGAGGTGATCAACAACAACCAACATTAAACAACTGCATTGGCCCTTTTACGGTTGATAAAGTAAATGAAAATGGAACAAGGCTTATGGATTTCTGTATGATGAACAATATCATTATCTCCAACACATTCTTTCAACATAAATTAATACATCAAACATCTTGGATGCACCCCGGCTCAAAGATTTGGCATATACTCGATTATACATTAGTGAACAAAAAGTTTAGATCGAGTATTGAAGATTGTAGAATGTATAGAAGAGCCGCTGGTGCAATTGGTACTGATCACCATCTTATGCGTGTTAAGATTAAACTCCATCTTAAATGCAGAAGAAAAAAACAACAAGTGAAGAGAACAAAGCTTGATTATACAAAATTTAAAAATGCAAAGACATTAGAAATGTTTCAAGAAGATCTTAGTAAAACTCTTTCTGATGCAAAGGATAAGAACATTACCATCGATGATAAATACTCTTTATTTGTAGAATGTCTGAAAGGAAATGCAGAGAAGCATTTCAAACTAGACAATAGGAAAAATGGTAAACGAAAAGAATGGCTTACAGATGAGATATTAAAAATAATAGATCAGAAATCTTTAGCTTTTGTTAATTGGCAAAATCATCGTGGAACCAAATCAGAGACAATATACAGAAACAAATATAAACGTCTTCGGAAGCTAGTTAAGACTAAAATTGATGCACGTCAGGTGGAATATTGGGATGAAATATGTGAAGAAATAGAGAAGTCTGTTAAATTAAATGATCCAGCAACTGCCTTCTCAATAATTAGACGTCTTCGTGGAGGAAGCAAAGGTGTGGAAAATATACCAATCCGAGACAGGAATGGCAAATTACTAGTTAACTCAGAAGATCGATTAGAACGATGGTGTGAATTCTTTGAAGAACTACTCAATGTTCCTCAAGCAGTCAATCCTGATCTCATTAATGAAATTCCAATTCTACCGTTATCCAAGGAAGAAGAGAATCGGCAAAATGCTGAACCTTCTGTAGAAGAAATTAGAAAAGCATTATGTCAAATGAAATCAAGGAAAGCACCAGGCCACGATGAAATAACAGTTGATATTCTTAAAGCTGGTGGCTTACCTGTACTTAAATGGCTTTATGAAATCTTCGTGGATGTATGGAAGAACGAAGAGATGATGGATAATTGGAATCTGGCTATCCTCATTCGGTTGTTTAAAAAAGGAGACAAACAACTATGTGATAATTATAGAGGAATTTCATTACTCAGTGTTATTAGTAAACTATTTTCTCGTATAATTCTTAACCGCATCCAACAACTTATTGACAATCAATTATTAGAATCTCAATCTGGCTTCCGAGCTAATAGATCAACAATTGATCAAATTTTTATATTGAAAATGATAATGGAAAAAAGAAAAGAATTCAACAAACCTTTGTTTTTATGTTTTATTGATATTACCAAAGCTTATGACTCTGTTAATCGTAAGCTGTTATGGAAGGTATGTCGAAAATATGGTATCTCAGGAAAACTTGTAAATCTTCTTAAAATGTTATATAAGGATTCAAAGGCAAAAGTAAGAATCGAAGGTGAGTTATCGTCCAGTTTCTTAATTAAAACAGGAGTTTTACAAGGTGGTATACCATCTCCAATCCTGTTCAATATGTTGTTTGACTTTATCATTAGAAAAGTTATAGATGAGGCTGGTGTTTCTGGAGTTCAATTTTCATATGGTAGCAATGACTTTTATCATGGCCAACGGGAAAATTACGAAAAGTTTAATATTTTGAATTTATTATATGCAGATGATTTAGTTGTAATGTGCGAGACAGCAAATGATTTAGAAACGTTCATTAAAACATTTGAAAAAATTACACAAGATTATGGACTAACTATGAGTGTCAAGAAGACGTGTATCATGGCATTACAACAGTTTGAAGAAGATTACAATCGGATAATATTAAAAAATATAGAAGTGAATCACCATATTACTGGTATTAATATTCGTAATCAAACAATTGAAATAGTGGATTCATTCGTTTATTTGGGCTGTAATGTTACAAGAGATCAACGATCAGATAAAGAATTAGATACACGTTTAAGGAAAGCTGCTACAGCATTCAATATGCTGAGACATGTGATCTGGTACAGAAAGACTGTGTCAATTACATCCAGACTCAGAATATTCAGGGCATGTATCCTTCCAGTTCTCCTTTATGGAAGTGAAACATGGTCCATTACCACTTTACATGAACGTAGAATTAACAGCTTTTATATGAAATGTATTCGCACTATTGTTGGAGTCAACTTAGGTGACAGAATCTCAAATGAAACACTATTGAAAATTACTGGTCAACCACCGATTGAAAACATAATACGCAGAAACAGATTAAGATGGTTTGGTCACGTCAACAGAATGTTAAACAACAACAAGGAACCTTCAATAGTTAAAAAGATCATGTTCTCATACTTTCCAACTGAAAAACGACCTCGAAATATGGGCATTAGAAAAAGATGGGAGGATAAAGTTCAAAATGATATTGAAATTTGTCAAATTAAAAATTGGAGAAGGGACACTTTGGATAGAGATTTTTGGCGGCAAGTTATTAATAAACATGTTATAATTAGGCCGATAGATTCGAACATCAAAGAGATCATATTCGGATATAAACAAGGTGCAGTTAAACGAAGAAACGAACAGTTGGCAGCAACATATGGAGTGGGTAAACGAAAAGTTTCAGAAGTGCTAACCAAGGGTGCTAACAATAAATACAAGTGTCCTGGTTGTAGAGAATTGTATAAACCACAAGGAATCACAAATCATGTGAAAGCATGCCCCAAGGCTAAAGAATGGTGCAAAACGAACAATATCAAATAATATATTCAAGCAGCTCAACAAGGATTGGTACACGCCTGCTGAGAAATGGATCTGGTAATGAATGATGAGTAACATCTAAACTGGATAACAGAGGATGGTATTCTGAATAGACCGTGATTCACGTATCAGTAGCGATTCGACAAGCCATTGGTCAAAGTACATGAACATTGACTTTTGTTAATCTTTTTGTGTTTATGTGTGTGTTGTATTTTTTCTCACCCTACACCGAAAACGGTAATGGGTCTAACTAACTAACTAACTACTTTTTCTATCGCCATCATACATAATAATGTGCATTTCATGAAAAACAAATTCTGAATACTATCGTCACGTGTTTTTTTGCTTTTGTTTGTTGTCTTTCTGAGATTCAAAAACTCATATCCTTAAAAAAACTAAACCTGATAAAATTGGGAAGGTATATCTCAAATTCTGTAAGTAACGAATTTTAAGAAAAATGATACAATTGTAAAGATCTGCATAGAATAACAACTTCTTGTTTTATTCTTCTTATAGATATTTTATATTCTCGAAGACCGAATTATGTGATTTCTTCTATCTGTCATCGACTAACTTGAGTATCAAGTTGAATAGAAAATTGAGCGAAGCAGTAGGTGAACAATCATATTGAGAAAAAAATCAAGCATGCGTTTCGGAAGAGAAAGCAACAAGGTCAACAAATGGATTAAATACAAGCAGTGATATAAGGTTAAAGAACATACAAACGAAAGGAAATATCCAGTTAATCTTGTTCAAAATAATTGACGACTTCAGTACTGCCGACAAAGAAGGGCGTATTTTTTCTCCAGATAATTGATATTTTCGTTCCTGACATTATTCTAAAAACGTTAAAATCTATTAATATTCGATTCCGATTTTAACTGATAAAATCTTGGAATCGAAAAAATTTTCATCGAAAGCAATATAATTTTTGCCCTCTAACTAAGCGACAGTTTCTTAACCGAAAATCAATTTGAGAACATTTTGAACAACAAAAAAAAGAATCATCAATTTTTTACCAAAAGAGATATTCACTTGAACAATCGATGTGCCCTATTTTATAATCGTGTTTGGATTTGAGATAGAATATTTTGATTCCGATGTAATTCTAATAATGTTAACTGATGCTAATTCTAAAAGCATCATCCTTGACTGTGTCTACTTGTTAATTTTGTTACTCATTGAATATCGATATTATGCATTTCGATTATAACTAAATCCAATCGATAAGAAAAAATATGATATTCTGACGCTCTTATGATGATGATTACACGTCTGAGAAAGTCACAAAATAATTAATTGACATAGTACTTCATTAATATTTGCTACTTCGATCATCATACAAAAACAATTGACAATAAATCAAAAGTTTCCTTTTGTTGTTATTAAAATATTGTATGTCAAAACTTCGAGCCTCATGGAAATGAACACATTTCTTTGAATGAGTATTTTATAGCTGTAAAATATTTAGCTGGAAAGTGTTTTAAAAATAGGCGTGGAATTGAACTGAGAAACTAATTGAAAAAACAAAAGCAAAAACATTGACATGTTTTCCAATTAATGTAGAATTAAATTCCTGTTTATAGTAAAATTTGAATTATGTTTACATGTGAATTAAATTGATACTTTATAACAGTGAAAAAGAATTTTATTGTGAAAAAAAGATGTCGGTATCGTATAGCCAGATCATGTGTCCTTAACCTAATATAAAGAGGAAGTAAATCACTTGGGTGTCGGTTGTTTTCTTAACCAGTAATAAGGTTTGTTTGTAAGCTCGTTTTAAGCCTGCAATCTCGTTCATTCGAATAAACAAATAATGCAAAAGTCTTATAAAAAAATTATATGAAACATGATCGTTGATACGCGTATATTACCATCAGATGTTCTAACATATACTGATGAAAAATTTTATGAGTTTGTACATAGTTTATGTGGTGATACACCAGTCGAATTATTAAAAGTTTTATGCATAAGAAGTGTACAATTATTATTAATGACTGATACTAAAGATATTTTTTCTGTTATGAATCTTGATTGTGTTCAGTTGGAGGACATTAAAAAGAAAACATGTTTTCAATTACAAGATAAATCATTTGTTATAAAACCTGGTGTTGAAAGTAGTATAAAATATTTGAAGGAATTATTGTTAGCAAAGAATAATGAACATTTAAAACAGCTGACAAAGAAAATAACACCATCTACACGAACAATAATTTCCAAACGTTCAACTCAATCATTATCATCATCGTCAAACAATACAATCACAACAACATCAACAGTAACTTTGGAACAGTCAGTTCCAATGTCAACAGATGAACACAAACAGTACGTCTTACAAAAAATCACTGAATGGTGTGATAGTAATAAAGAAAATTTATCACTGGTAAATCTTGATCTTAAAGAAAATGAACATTTTACATTAACAATTAAAAATTCTAATACCAGCTTAGAAGGATTAATAAAATGTAAATGTGGTGTTATAACAACATTAGCAACAAAAGATGAAAGATTTGTATTATCAAATTTTTATAAACATTTACAAACAAATAAATGCTCAATGATGAAAATTATTAGAAGAGAAGATCAAGAAAATAAAAAAAATGATAATAGTAAGCAATTAACAGCAACATCAACTACACCACCAACGACGCCAACAAATAAATCAACATTTTTATTAAATAAATTATTAGTTTCACCGTCAACATCAACAACAAATAGTATTGAAACCACCACAACAATGAAAAGAAAAAATACAGCTCCATCAACTTCAACAAAACGGCGAAAAAAATAAATATTTTACAAAGTGATTATATGCAGGGTAGACCTTTTATTTTAAGTTACTTTTCAATCTTGTGTGATTTCTATAGAAATGTTGCACACTTTATCGAATTATTTTTTTCCTAAGTTGTAGCTTTTGATTTGAGATATAACTTCTCTCTCAACGTTTCTTCTCGATTTCGTTCTCTATCACAGCTATGAAGCGTAGATGAAAAAGTTACTTAGCTTCCTCATTTATTCTCCATAACTGTGTTCTAGAACAAAATCCATAGGAGACGTTGAAAGTAAAGTAATAGCCCAAATCAAAAGCTACATTTTAGTGAAAAATACCGATCGAATGTGCAAGATTTCCATGGAAACCACACAAGATTAAAAAGTAACTTTAAGTGAATAATCTACTTAGAATAACATGTAGACTTTTTGGTGTTTTTATATTTTCAAAACCAGTCCACCACTGATTAACGTTTTTTGATTGTACATTTTGTATCATATGTTCTATTATTGTTTTTACATAATTAGTGATCCATTTATTTCGTTATACTTGTTCTTTTATTTGTTTTCATGTATTATTTGGATTTTATGCAAGACTTATGTACTTTTATATATGCTGATAATAACAAACAATATGAAGTAAAGGAAGATGACTGTGTCAATTAGGTTAAAAGGTGTTTTAATCTAAGAAGTAGCGGCTCAAACAGGTTTTGCTACTTTTTAAGATACAATATTTGTTCCACGAATATGCCGAAAAAACTATGGCACAGACACTCTTACAACTGAGCCATGCTGGAAAATTTAGTAATTTGACGTATTCCATGTTTCTCTCTATTTCAAAAATACCTAGATATATCTAAAAATACCGGGAAATACCTGGAAATACGTAGAAATACGCAGAAATACGTGGAAATACGTGGAAATACCTAGAAATACCTAGAAATACCTGGAAATACCTAGAAATACCTGGAAATACCTAGAAATACCTGGAAATACCTGGAAATACCTGGAAATACCTGGAAATACGGAAATACAGAAATACGCTTTTCCCCCCTTGCCCCACCCTCTGCAATGGGGGGGGGGGGGCTCTGTAATGTTCTCTTTCTCCATTGCTATGTGTCTGTAATGGGGTGGGGGGGGAGCCGCCAACCTTGAACTGAAAACTTACACTCACTATTTTCTACGAAAACATACGTGAGTTCCACAAAAGTATATATATTTAAAAGATAGTGGAGAACAATATTTTTTATGACGAGACGAAAGACATATTTATGTATGTATAGGAGAGATATACATAATCTATATATATATATAAAAGAACAATATTTCTCAACAATTGCTTATATATGCATAGTAGATATATATATATTTTCTTATAGAACCCAGAACAATATTTTTATATATGTGTAGAAGAGGTAGAAGAGCTATACGTAATGAAAAAAATATATGTAAGTTATGTAGAAGATAGAATTTTTTGTCAAGAAAAGATAAAATATCTATCTATATGTAGAAGAGATATATATTTTATATTTTTATGGTGGAAGGAATATACGTAATGAAAAAAATATATACGTAATGAAAAAGTATGTGTCTGTAGAGGATAGATTGAGAAATGTAGATTAACAATCAAGATGATAGTCAAGATGACAGAGAGAAAGAGATTTTTTGATCTACGTATTTTTCGAATAGTTATTATTGTTGATAGATACTTTACAGAATATCAATGATCAATGATGGATAATAAAAGAGTCGATAGTAAAGAATAAGAAGTATTTTTGAAATATATTTCGTTGATTCATCTGATTAAAGAAGATCTCTCGTTTATAACATTTATATTCATCTATTTTTTCTTGTTTCTATCTTTGTTATTATCATTCTTTTATCATCTATTCTTTCGATCTTACTGTGGTAAAAGGTTAATAACATTCTTTGGTGGTTTTTTATGTACTATGATTTTACTAAGATTATCTGTCAGACGATGTTCATATATTATCGGAATATCATCTAGAGGTGTTCCTTCGAAAATTTCATTCCATATTTGATGTAATTTCGCACCGAATTGAGCTAATGAGGGTGTGTATGTGAAGTGAAGTAATATATCTCGATTGAAATCAATTTCTTTCTTTAGTTTTTTATTCCATTGCACATCTAAGACTTTGTCACGAAATGCTTTATGCTGATCGCTAAATAGAAAATCCGGTGTATTCTTTCCTGTGAGGGTTAGGTAGAAACGATTCATATGTTTCTTAATAAAATTCGGTGGATACTTGTTTAGTAAGAAGATTATTCGAATTTTGTGGATTTCTTGTCTCAAATCTTCGACGTGCGAGCATATTCGTGCTGCTCTTAGCACGGCCGAAAAAACGATATTTTTGAAAATGTGTAGGAGATGGGAAGAATGAAATGGTATGATGTATGGTTGAGCGGCTAACTTCCGATAGAGTTTCGTTCGAAAACTAGGCACTTCTACACTTATTCTGATATCGAGATAGTTAATAGATTCGCCTGTTTCAAAAGATATTTGTATGTTGGGATCCTTCTTTCCTAAGTCATGGAGTATATTATTCATTTCTTCAGTTGTTTTTTCTGTTGTTAAGAAAACATCATCTCGGAATCTACGATACAATTGTTTTTCTTTTTCTTGTTGTTCCACTAAAGATTTTCCCCACTTTTTTACATAGACATCTGCTAGAACTTGTGTACATGCCAATCCCATTGGACTCCCTCGTATTTGTTGAAAAAACTTTGGTGCTTGCCCCGGTAGTTGAAGTGTAAAAAAGGAATTATTTAGAATATGTTTTAGTAAGATGCGGATGGTGTTAATAGGAATCTCATTTTTCACTTTTCGAATGTTATGCGTACCTAATATTTCACAGATGGCCATGACAGCCTCATGTTGGGGTATCGAAGTGTACAGATTAGTTATATCCAAAGTGTACAGTTTTGTTTTCTCATTTGTTTGAAATTTTTTCAAATCATTCAAGAGATCTATCGAGTCAGTTAAAATATATGGTGTGACTTTTTCGAAAATGGGTC